TTGGGAGAAGGCTTATGACCACATTGACTGGTCAATTCTGGAGGGAACCATGTCAAGGATGGGGTTTGGAATTCGCTGGAGGAAGTGGATGAGGGGCTGCTACTCCAACCCTCACTTCTAAATCCCATCAACAGATCCCCGAAGGGTTTCTTCCCATCCTCTAGTGGACTTCGCCAGGGAAACCCTCTCTCCCCCTTCCTCTTTATCATCTCAACGGAAGTTTTTAGCCGTTCCATCAATCGATTGTACCAGACAGGCCTACTCTCTGGTTTCAAAAGTAGTACACAAGGCCCAATCGTGTCTCACCTGCAATACGCAGATGACATGTTAGTTTTCCTTGATGCTACACTGGAGGAAATAGATAATCTGAGATTGTTCCTCACATGCTTTGAGCTCGCGACGGGGTTCAAAGTAAATATGGAAAAATCGAAAATGATTGGGTAGCTCCCTCCAATCTTGATACCAGAGCTCTGATCCCTAATTGGGAATGTAAAGTGGAGGACCTCCCTACCACATACCTTGGTTTACCTCTGGGCTTGGGGAAACCAAAGAAGAGACAGTGGTCATACATAATAGACATAGAAGACAAGCGTTTGGCAGGATGGAAAGGTAGGTACCTCTCCTTCACAGGGTGGACCACGCTCATTAAAGCTACCCTTGCAAACTCTCCTGTCTACCTCATGTCCTTATTCCACATGCCCGTCTCGATAGCCAATCGCCTAGATCAATTGATGAGGAATTTCCTCTGGTTAGGAGAAACTGAGACAAATAAATTTCACCTTATTTCATGGAACAAGGTCTGCCTTCCAAAACTCCAAGGAGGATTGGGTATCAGGATTCTAAGAAAGCACAATTTAGCTTTGTTAGGGAAATGGTGGTGGAGACTGGCCACCCAGAACAATTCTCTATGGGACCAAGTCCTCTGCAGCAAATATAGAATCCCGGAAGATTCGTGGGTCCCCGAGGGGAAATCTCTGAGAAAGGGCCTCGGGAGCATGGAAGCCCTTGACATCCCTCTCTATGTTCAAGCAGTTCATTCGTCTTCGTCCTAGAGAAGGAACTAGAGTGCGCTTCTGGTCAGACCTTCAACTAGGCCACACTCCACTAAGGGACCTCTTCCCCTCCCTCTACTCTCTCGCCTCTAGCAAAGCTTCCATTGTCGCAGAGGAGATGGGTGCCTCTAAGGATCGCAAGGTCTGGAACTCTTTTAGATGCCACCTTTCAGAGGAGGAAACAGGGAAATTCATATCCCTTTCAGCTTCCCTTCATTCCACCTTCCTTGCTCTCTCACAGAGGGATACCCTTGCGTGGACTCCCTCCCACTCTGGTTCATTTACGGTGGCCACCTTATATAAAAGATTTATTCAACCACCTACCTTCCCTAACAACCCAATCTCAGTTCTCTTCAAGGTCTGGTCCACCATTGCACCACCTAAAGTGCAGGCATTCAACTGGATTGCTTGTTCCCAAAGAGCCCTCACAGTAGACCAGCTCCAAAGGAAAGGGATTCTGATCCCTAACAGGTGTGCTTTGTGTCTATGTGAGGGGGAAATGAACCCCCACCTGTTCATTCATTGCAGCCTAGCTTTCAACCTATGGAGTCAAATCTTCCAGCTGTTTGGCCTCTCATGGGTCACTCCACCATCCATTCCGGCTCTCATCACTTCGTCTCTCATTTCTCATTGGCCAAAGGCTGATAGAATCCTCTGGATGGCTTCTATCGCAGCTACTATTTGGGTTCTTTGGCTGGAAAGAAACTCCAGGATCTTTCAACGCCTCAAGAGTGACGTTTCAGCCCTCTTCCACTAGGCTACTTCCTTAGTAATCTTTTGGGCCTCCAATCATAGGGCCTTTGCCGAGATTTCGGCTAATACTTTCCTTAGCCAATGGGAAAACATCCTCCACCTCCAACCCCATCGGGTCTCAAGACCCAACAACAGGTTGCTGCCACCAAAAGGCACCATCAAGCTTAACTTCAACGGATGCTCCCTGGGTAACCCAGGCCCAACAGGAGCTGGAGGAGTTTTCCGAGATCACAGTAGCAAAATCCTGGCCACTTTCTCCAAGCAATTAGGCCATCCAGATTCTCAATATGCTGAATACATGGCACTATTGTTGGGACTAAAAGATTTGACCACTCTTGTGAATCTTTGTTGCTTGTCGAGGAGGATGCCAAAAATATCATATCCTGGGCCGTTGGATATGCCCCCCCACCTTGGTACCTATCCTCTATTTTTAATGAGATTGCATATACTTGCAGGGATATAGTCGTCTCCTGGATGCATATCTAGAGGACGTCAAATGCGTTTGCAGATCTTCTGGCTAAGGATGGTGTTCGAACCCAAGTAGATGCTCTCGTATAGTCGCGACTTTTGCGTTGCTACATTGTTCATACTTTCGTCGCTGGTCCATCTCCTTTTTTCCTCTAGACCTTTGCGGGTGCATTGTATTTTGCTTTGCATGTGTACATCTTTTGTAATAGGGCAAGTCTTATAAGCCCAAATTTTTTGTATAGGGTCATAGTGTCCTGATCTATTTTTTGATCGAGCGACCCGGCCTGTGGGTACTCTCAAGTCACTCTTGTTTTCCGATGCTTTTTTAGTAATACAATTGTAAACCTCATTCAAAAAATATATATAAAAATATTTAAGATATAAACATCTGAAATTAGAATATATATTTTAGAAAAGAACAAAGTAAATATATTATTCAATAGAGAAAAATAAGATATGCTCCAAAATCAGGAAAAAAAACCAAAAAATTAAGACATCCTTTCTCTCTTAGCATTCATGTCATAACATTGCTTCCCAATCTAACCACGTATTCAAAAACCTTGCAGAGATGTAGTGATCCTAACCTAGTATTTGTTATTCAACATAAAAAAAAGATCATCATCATCATCATAGCCTCGTCCCAATTATTTGGGGTCGGCTACACGAGTCCTGGTCCACCAATCTACTCTATTAAATGTCATAACCTCAATGAGGCCATAAGTCCCCATATCTTTTCGAAGTACTTCCAACCACGTCCTTTTGGTACCCCTTGCCCTTTTCAATCCTTCCACGTGAACTATCTCGCACTTCCTAACATGTTTGGCCATGTGGGTCGACGCCACACATGGCCAAACACTAGGTTAGGAACCCTGCATCTCGTCTCTCATGTCATAATATTGTTGTCCAATCTAACCATTTTTTAAGGTTTTAAGGAACCATGCAGAGATGGAGTGAGCCTAACTCGCTTATTAGTTACAGAAAGAATAAGACATTCACATCATAACTTGACAAGACGAATGCATCTTCTCCCATTCAAGGTTTTCAATAAACTTGTATTAAAAATATACAACCAAGAGAAACAAAAAGAGAGCCTTCTTGCTTTGTCTCTTTACCACTAACTTCTAGATGGAAGAAGATCTTGCAGCAACCATGAAGAAATGAGATAAAGCGTAAGTAGTTGGAGCACGATGGGGCTTGGAAAGAGGGATTAGTAGCGGCATGACAGGGCTTAGGGGAAGATTCCTATTACGTTTACTTTTAATAGACAAGTTTGAAAAGATCTAGAGATTAATATCTATCCCATGTTTCTATCAATCATAAACTCCTAATATCTCTACTTGTGATCTTTAAAGAAACCTTCTAATTTAAAGGGGGAGTTTTTCTCTCTCTCTACCTCACGAGTCATGCCCTTCCATCCTCAAAGATGATGTCTTAGTTTCTCTCTACCTCAAGACCCTTGTCTCTCTCACCTCTTTTCCAAAGGCACAGAGAGAGCTAACGATTTTTATTGCGAGAGATTTTTTGGGAGTACTAACAACTTATATCAACACTAATCTAATATGGAATCGCCTTTTTTTTTTGTCAATTTTTATGGATATGTCTTCCAAAGGGAGACATCCATATCTCTAACTAAATTTTAGAGCTTAAGCCTTACTATTATCCTAACTGTTTCCTTTTATTTATAATTATTACTTCCATTGTATTGTAGAAAATTTTAGAATGAGCTTATTCAGGAAATGTGCTATATAGCGATTTCTACCTCATTGCCCCCTCCCCCTGCTATTCCTCTCTAACCCTAAAATCTCTCACATGTATCCTGTAATTTCTACCTATTTTAAAAGGTCACTTACCCTTAATACTCGCTAGGTATAGGTCCTTTTTTATTCTTGTGACCTGTGTCCACCTCTTAACTCTGGCTTTAATAATGTAGTATAGATACATTTCTGAACTGAGGTCATGCAATCAGAAGACAATAATTTTACGATCCACCACTATAATACAAGTTGAACAAAAACTCATTATGAATTTTTGGGTCTGGCAACTATAACTTTGATCACAGATTTATTTCTTACAAGATAGCGCAGAAAGATGTCAGATCACAAGATAGCACAGAAAGATGTCAGATCATGCAAGTGACAAACTTCAGAGTGAATGGTGTTTAATATAGATGTACCAATCACAAAAACCAATGTTCAATATAGAATGTATAAACACAATCAAACCCTAATGAGGACACATCTCATAGGCTCACTAATTGTTGGTTGACATTACTGAAAGAATAAAATACAAAGTTTTTATTTGCTGTACAGTTATATGCTTGTCTGAACTTTGCGCCGTATGACACAAAATCTCTTCAATCAATGATATATTAAATATCAGAAAAGAGAGATGATGATAACTATCCCCAAGCCGATCAGATCATTAATGTTGCCCTGTGAACAGAATGACAAAACATACTAACAAGAGGCCCAACACTTATATCTGCACAACAGAATAATAAGGAAGTGATATAGCAGCTGCATATTTTTTTTTACGGCTTTTGAATCAGATTTAATTCACAATTTTGCTGTGATTCATGAAAAAGAATCCTGTGTTTAATTCACAAGAATTGTACAAGGAGCGTATCCAACAAAGTGCCTGTCAGAACTAGAGAATAGAAAGTACAACAAAATCCAACACAACATACAACAACATGATGTGAACATGGTGGTGAGTTCTCTATCATACCATTTACAGCAGCATCAGAAAGCTGTTCCGAGTTCAAACTTGAAAGAGTGGCAAATACCAAAGGATGAGAAGCAAGTGTAGAAGCAGCAACTCTGGGAAGAAAACATGAATCTTCCAATAAGCATAATTTGTTATTACAACCAGAACCAGGAATACTACCCACATTTTGTCTCATAAACACAAGTATATGCACAGGTACATGCCTCACACTATATATTTGAAGCTCAAGAATTTCGTCACCCCGATGGAGATATTCAAACAGTCAACAGTCATCACAAACCATCCAAACGATAATTTTATCCCCAAACTTTGTAAGTTGACTCATTTCATCCAAGAATAATTCCAAAAAATAAAAAATAAAAAAAAATACAAAGTTGTTCTTGGAGAAGACAGGAAAACACCCTCAAATTGCCCAAAGGGTTGTAGGGCAGATCTGGCATTGGACAGCCTACAATATGTGGCAACCACCGCAGTGTCACCCTATTGATAATGAAATCCCTATCCATATCCCAAACAATCTAGTCTTCTTTAAATTTGTCATGTCTACCTTCTAAAGTTGATTGTCAATTACACAAGCTTTTTCAGATTTTGTAGAGTTTATCTTCATAAATTGCAACAATGGATATCAAATGTGCCATGTCATGAAGCACATACAATCCCAAAGGGCATGAACTGATAAGAAATCTGAATGCAGATTGAAGATTATATTTTATTGGACCATAGTTACGGGGAGTGCCCAACTAGGGTAGCGCTCCTGCTCCGGAACCCAGCTCCGGCACTCTGTAGCCGAGATCTCGACCGGAACCCGTTCCCTACTTTTTGGGAGCTTGCTCCTACTTTTAGGATTCTTGATCCCATTCACAACAGACCTCGCTCCCGATACTGCACGGGATGCTTTCCTTAAATTTTAGGATCTGGTTCCTAAATAAATTAGATCCCTGCTCCCAAAATTTTAGGAGCGCGATCCCTACATTTTCGGAACTCCATCCCTACGTTTCCAAAACTTCCTAAAATAAACTTCTCTAATTTTAAAAATAAAATAATTATACTTTAAGCCAATTTTCATAAAAGTAGAGTTCTGCGATGGGAGTGCGGGCTAATCATGCACGGAACGCGATCCTTCTTGAATGGAGCTCAATCCTTTCCAAATAGGAACGCGGTCATTCCTAGATGGGGGGCACAATCCTAATGAATATGGGAACACGATCCCATTTTACATGGAACGCATTCCCGTTAATTAGGGATCTTGATCCCAATCTATTGGGAACGAGCTCCTTGTTCATATGGGATCTCGATCCTCTACTTTCACCATCACCGAAACTCGTTCCCCGAGCTCCGGAGCTTTGGGCAGACGTCAATCCAACACTCCTGGTAACTATGGACTGGACCATATTTGCTGGGAATGGTTCTGATATCGAGGGCAGGATTGATGGATCGAAGCTACCCCAAAGATCCCTATGTTAGGGATTGATGTCTACATAGGGAACATGGTCTGTGTGTGTTGGGGATCGAGCTCTTCTAATAGATGGGATTGATTATTATAATATTGAGAAGCGAGATCCTCTGATTTGGAAACAAAGTTCCGGAGCTCAAATTTTTGAATTTCCTGACCTGGGGGGAGCTCAATCGGAAAAATGATCCAACATAGTATGGAGCGAGGGATAAATTTTATAAGAGTGAACTCTAATGAGATCCATGTGTAAGTTTATATACGTCTTCCGGGCTTTGAGGTAGTTACCAACGTTGTTAATTACTAATATGTAATCCTAAACTTCTATTAAATAAATACATAACTTTAAATTACTCCAGAGTTCATTATATTAATATAGTAGATAAATCAATTCATTAGATAAACCATGACCTTTATAGTTTTAACTTTTTTAAGTACAAAACTTAAGGTGCATTGTAGCCATCTTTTTATTTGAATAGCTATGTGAACTATATATAGATGAAATAATTTGTTTTTTCATCATCATCGTCAAAACCTTTTTCCAATTAATTGGGGTTGGCTACGCGAATCCTGGTCTGCAACTCTACTCTATTAAGTGTCATTCACTCAATAAGGCCATAAGTCCCCATAGTTTTTCTCACTACTTCCAACCATGTCTTTACCCCCTGCCCTCTTTTACCCTTCCACTTGAACTAACTCGCACCTCAGGGTCTACGCTACACAGGGCCAGCCCGCCTAAGTTTACTTTTTCTCATCTTATCATCAATTGGTGTCCCACCTAAGTTCTTCCAAATGTATTCATTTCGAATTCTATCCCTTCTTGTCTTGCCAATCATCCATCTCACCATCCTTATCTCAGCTACACTCATTCTATGGGTATTTTGTATCTTGATCATCATACATTCCGCCCCATAAAGCAAAGTTAGTCTCACAACTGTCCTATAGAACTTGCCCTTTTGCATCCATGGTATGCGGCGATCACATAAAATTCCGATTTCGCATCTCCACTTTGCCTGTCCAATTCTAATTCTATGTGCAACATCATCCCTAATCTCTCCATTTTCCGGGATTATCGACCCAAGATATTGAAAGTGCGCTCATTTTGGTATTTCCTGGGGGCAATTGTTTCACGCGGGCTGGACCGCATTTCTACAATATGCGGTCCAGAGGTATAACATCCATCTTAAAGATGGATGCAAATAGGTGGTCCATATAAAAACAAGTGTAACTAATGGTCCAAATGTTTTCTTAATATAATTATTATTTCTAGTTTTCAAATTATTATTTATTTATATTCATGACCTCCATGTTAAAGATTATATATTCTCTAAAAATTAGGATCAAATTATATTTAAAAAAATATTTATTGCTAAGCCTCCATTTCTACAATATGCCGGCTGGCCACATAGAAATCGTGTCCATTTCTTGGTCATCACTCTTAACTACTTCCTCGTCTCTACTCCTTTTATTATTAAACTTGCATTCCATATACTTTGTCTTAGTCCAACTAATTTTAAACCCTTTAGATTCTAGATCATCCCTCCAAAGTTATAACTTTGTGTTGATGCCATTTCGGCTCAAATCAATCAAAACTATG